ATACGGGGACAGTTTGGCAGTCTCTTTGTTGACAGAGGTGCGTGCAGCGGAATTTGGGGCGAAATACGCTTCCACCGCCTGGATAAATGCGTGCGGGAAGTCATCCATGGAGGCAGATGACTCTGATGAGGTCTGCTCGACGCAGACGCACAATGCTGGGCGCGGTCAGTGGGGTACAAGCAGCAGGTTAAGTAGACGCACTGGCAATAATCTCCGCGTATTTTGAGTATGTCGGGGTGTCCTGTTTGACGCTTAGCAGAAGTTTCGAATGGGAAAGGATGGCGCCGTCCATACAGAAATCCATCTCGATAAGCGTGATCTACATGTCATAATTGCCGGCGCCTTTGGAGGGTTAAACGAGAAAACTTCAAAAGCACTACATACTAGATGTTCGTCGCTCTGAGGTCAAAGTCAGACAATTTTCCTAGACAAAGCCATTGTGATTACCAGGCTAGAATTGTTGAAGGCTGCTGCTGTGCTTCAAGATGTCCAAGGCAGCAGAGACTCCAGCGAGGCGTTTGAAGTACAAGGTTGTTAGCTGTGCAAATGGCGCCTTGGAGGGATGCAGCGCAATGATCTCCACTGAGAGTATTTGTAGGGATCGCAGTTCCGGTGCGTCCAGGATTCGCAGTCGTTTCAACTCCCAGTCACCCTCGGACGCCGCAATCGAAAGACGCTGTAGCATTGGAAATTGTGATCCAGCCAAAAACAGCTGGGCCAGCGTCTCCATTGGCACGCTTAGTGAGACGTCTCGCCAGCGAGATACCAGCGGGAGTAATGTCTGCGCCGTAATCAAGAAAGGCTGTCACATGAAGTGTAAGGGGGAGGACATTAGCGCGTGCAATCCATAGTTTTGTGAGATTAATCAGCTCAAAGCTGCTCTACGAATGTGCTTCCGTAGTCCGAGTTGTTGTCGTGGGACATGCGAGCGTTCCGAGCAGCGCAATGCTCCCGGGTTAGGCTCCCTTCCCAGTTGTCGTTGGATCTAACGGGGATTTGGAGAGCCTCAGCAAACAAGAAAACGTTAACGATAGAGAGGACGAGGGCCTTGCCCTGGACCCACCCTGCCGGGGGCCTCTGCTCGCCCCGCAGGGCCCGCTGCGCGAGCACTCTTCTCTTCCCTCCTCCCCTCTCTCACTTTCCTAGGTGCTCTGGAGCTTTTTATCACGTAGTTACGGCGCGGCCGGGGTTTTCCACCCGGACCCCACGCTGCCGCGGAGGCCTGCTGCTGCGCAGCTCGTGAATTGATCCTGAGCTGATTCCCGAGGTCATAGGAAGCATGCGTCGAGTGCATCAATCCCACTGATCACCCTTGCTTAAGGGCTGATCAGTGGGATTGGACTCGATCAGTAGGACTGGTTTGGGGTGGCCCAGTCCCAGTCCCACTGATTTCGTCACCCCTCATACTGTACTTGTCGATATCGCAGGCACCCACCGAGTGTACATATTCGTCTCCATAGTGAAATGCGAGGTGGACATTCAAAAGATCCAATGCAGGGAAGTAGCTGGCTATGGATGCCAGCTTGCTGCTAGTGTCGCACCCCTCTAGCACTGCAAGCGTCAGATCCGTGACTGCTCCAAGTGCGCGCGTGAGGAAGGGCAGCAAGGGCGAGCAGCAGGGCTGGCGTATCGGGTCCCAGTAGCGTGAGCTTGTCAATGTTGGCCAGCGGAAGGATAAGCAATGCCAGCTCAAGCGTGGCTTGTAACTGTGTCAAAGTACGGAATGTGCATGGCAAATCGCGGTCCGGAGGGGCTACCGGGGAGGGAATGTTGTCGGTCGTGAGTATCAGGGACTCCAGCCTAGGAAAGGCGGTGTTGAGCAAGGTGGCGAGTTCACTGGTCTCCGAGCCTCTGATACTAATTGTGAGGTGGGTGGTATTCAGGAATATCGGGAGTACGGCAATTCCGCCCTGGCAGTGTAATGCCAGACTTGGCGCTGCTGCTTCCCATCGTATCTGCAGCGCAAAACGCGCTGAGGCTACAAGGTTCAGCCAGGAGCTCGGTTCGCTGCAGTCGGTGAGTATCAAGCTGCTGATGGATATTTTCTGGAGGAACATAGAGCTGGCGAGAGAAGGGGGGATTGCACAGTTGATGAGGAACAATGTCTCGAGTGATTGTAGCTGGGCGAGCGCACCAAGCGCCCGCGGTCGTGAATTCTATCTGTTCAGCCTTGAAGTAGCGAAGATTGCCAGCGGGGGAGTGTCGTGAGTACGCTATGGAGCATAGAATGAATCTCGTCCTCGTCGCTGAACCTGACATCGCTGAATTTGTACGAATACCCAGAGTAGCAGCTAAGCAGGTTGACAGAGATGCACTTGACGTGGGCGCCACGCTATTCGACCCAAACAGTCCCAGTTTATCCTCCAACTGCTGCGTTTGCTCCGTCGTCAAAGGTATAGGGCAGGAACGAGAGGTTGGTGAGTAGGAGTGTGCGAGCCAAAGAGCAGAAGCGCCGCGATGCACGGGCGACATTGTGCAGGTCATCCCTTGACGCTCGTCGGAAGACGTCGAGGAGGAGCTCGTTGGGCAACACGGTTGTTAGGAGAGAAATGGTTGCCGCGTGAGAGCCGTCACTGAGCGTGTGACAGCCGACTGGGATGCCAAGCCACTGCGCTCAACTTGAAAGACAGGTCTTGCTCTCAAGCTCCTTCTCCAGCTTAATACAGTCGGGTATCGGAGGACACAGTGCAGCATTCTGCGCTCAAAGGACTACAATGGTGCCCAAAAACCTTCACGGCCAACGTGTCCACGGACATGAATTTGATGGCTCCCTGTGCACGTGCATCAGCATGGTCCGTGCGCCGCCCGCCAAACACGGGTCATCGCCCTTCTTTTCCGCCCACTTTCCCCCACACGGTCTGAGCCGACCTTGCGATTCTGCCCTCGGTGGCCCGCGCTGGTGTCGAGGAAGGAACAGCCTGCTTTCGAGGCAGGATGGACATGGGATCAGGCGCTTCAAAAATAAAATGTGGCTGGCGGGTGGGCGCCAGCGCACGCGGGCTCCTTGTACATCGTATTTGTCCGTCGTCGTGGCACAATTTTTTATCTTCCTTGACCCGTCTCGGCGGGTCTCATGGTTGTCGTGTGCAGAGGGACAAGGTGTGTTGTGCACTTGATACTAGTAATTGGGGCTCACCCATTGTCAGTGTAATAGACGTTGTTGTATCCGTGCACTACTAATCAACATATTGCCAATTTTCCCCCAAGAATGGTGCAGTCGCCGTTATTCGACCGATCCTCTGTCGTCCACTATGCGCTGGCATCTGGCTGCCAACAGCGTTGTCCCGCATCGGCGTCGCGTCTTTCGCTGGTAGGCACTTGCAGCGATGTTATACAGCATTTTGCGGAACACTGGCGCTTCCAGTTGATTGATTCCCGCGGTCGCCAGCTGACTCATCCCCGCATCTTGCTTCTCACTCTCATGGACGACCCGCCCTTCCCCCGCGAGATCGAGCTGCACATCTTCCGCGAGGCGCGCTGCAGCGGCCGCGGGGCATCCCAGTGTTGATGCGCGTGGCGTGGTGGGTGAAAGAGTGGTGCGTCCGGCAATGCGTACTTTGGTCCGTTTCTCTCGCTGACCAGCTGTGGCCGCCAGTGTGGAGCCGCTGCTGTACAACGTCTTGAGTCTTCGGGATCCGGAGGCTGGTCCGACTCTCAATACACCATTCCCAGTCTTGTCGCCGTCTGCCTTCAGGGCGCTCATCGAAGACCCCCCCCGGCAGGCATTCATCGCGCAGTCGACCGGTCTGCGTCTCGACGGAGAGCTCTCCTCGTCTGAGACTAACAGTATTCTGAACTCCTGCCCCCACCTCCAAGATGTTGTCATTCTACCGCGTGGTCTCATATTTAGCACGGCAGACGTGCTCGGAACTCTGCCCAACCTCCGGCGGCTCACCACGAACCTGCTCTCGCTCTACATGATGACCGCATCTCCCGACCTCTCCGCGCTCACGCGCATCACACACCTCCACCTGTCGTTCTACCACCGCTGGCCGCAAGTCTGGCCGCCGCTTCTGGCGCTTCGTGCGCTGACGCATCTCGCCATCGATACAAAGGAGTGGTACCACGACATTCTGCAGAGGGACGCCCCACCGCTCGACATGTTGCTGGACGTGCTGTCGGATCCACATCGGCGGTTGAATGTATTCGTCCTGTCCTACCAGCGCGTTGGGAAGGTGCCGCTCGACGAACGCCTCATAGAGCACCCTGCGTGCCTCCTGGTCCACCAGGGGATCGGCTGGCCGGAGTGGCAGGATGAGTGGACAGGCGGCGCGACTAGTGCGGGGGTTCTGGGAGCGCGTGGATAAAATGCTTGCGGAGCGTCGCTCAGCGGGCGCCCCAGGGAAATATGACAATGATTGGTAGTCCTTCTAGTGGAAAATATTCTGTAAACTATTGAATCGGAATCCTCCAAGTTATCAGTGCCTTCAAGTGCGTCCACTTCTCACACGGAAGCGTGTTGTCATATGCGTCTGTCACAGTCTCCTCAGTTCTGTGAAGCACACGAAATCAACCGTATGCGGCACACCTAGTACCGCGTCCCGCAGGACATTATACGCCTCCGCAACCTCGTGGAACGCCGGCGTCGAAGGACATTATACGCCTCCGCAACCTCGTGGAACGGCGTCGACTGGTGGCCGGGCACGTCGGGGTGGTGCCGCTTGCTCAGCTACACCTCCGCAGATAAGTCCCGCGCACGCACAGCCGACACAGCGGAGGGACCCACCGCGAAGAAGGCCGTCTGCCAGCGTGACCCTAACCCTCAACGCGAAGGCCTGCACCGTCCTGATGCCCCGCTCGACTCGCTCGGGGTCGTTCCCCGCTAGCTCCGCTCCGCGCAGGGTCCTGGGCTCATTGGACAGATGTTCTCCTGACCCGCGACGGCCCGGGTGGGGACCGCTTTGGCAAGCCATACCGTGGCTGGTGGTATATACTGTTCGTGCAAGGGCGTTGCTCCGTCAAGCCTAGTTCAGGAGTGAGCGGGGCCCGGGGACGAGAGAATGATGTGGTGGAAGAGTGGTGCCGCTGGTGCGTTTCCTGCAGCTTCCTGTGCACTCGATATCCGACTTCCCGTCTCTGAGTTGGTTTTCCGATTTGCGATTGGAGATTCGGAGCCAGAAGGGGATCTCTGGTCATGGATTCACATCCTCGATCTTGCCATGCTGGTCAAGTTCACTTGGTGCATTGACAAGCGTCTGCTCAGCCTTGCCAGGTTGTCGCGCGAAGATGTCGTGTTCCCTGGGTGCGACATCTTGTATTGCGGATCCAGAATTCATTGGTGTTAACCCACTCTGGCATCGAGCAGCTGCCGCGCACCTTCCCGGGACTCGAACAGCTGTGCGTTCAGGTCATCGATGGGCCTTATAACACAGAGATGGCCGCGAGCGAGCCAGCTTGTGTGCTTCCGTGTGTGCGCGAGCTGACCACAGCCTGCAAAGTGTTGCCTGCAGTTCTCCCATGCACACCATTTGTGAACAAACTGAAGATTTGGAATGAAGCTGCCGGGAGACTGCTGTTTACGCTCCAGCGCATCGAGAGGTATATTCCGCCCACGATAACTAACGTAGCATTGCAGTCGGATAATGGCAATTACTCCCTTTGGTCCGGGATCCTTGCCTTCTTCCCGAACCTGCGCACCCTCGATTTCCGTGTCAAAGAGTCCAGCGGTGATTCTCGGCCAAGCGAGGTGAATTCTGTCCTGTTATCTGCGGCCTTGATCCTATCAACACCGTTCTCCAGGCCCCTCACTTCCTCGCCAGCCTATCGACCATCCTTCCGCCCACTCTCGAAAGTCTCCGTGTCCATATTTGGTCCTCAAGGGCTGTCCTTCCCGGGGGGCAAACGGGAAGAGTGGGATTGAGCCGTCTTCCAAGCGCGGATGAGCTCCAGGCAGAACTACTGAAAGGGTGTGGCGGTCTACGGCAGATAGTTATCCGTGGGTCATTCCTGGACTTGCAGTGGACCAGCGATTGAATCTATCGCCGACTCGGACATGTGTTTGGACTCGTGCATGCCTAACTCGATAATATTTCTTTGATTGGTAAGACGACAGGGCATTCCAGCATGTTGTCGAATAGATATGACAAGCATCAAATGACCGTTGCCGAAAACACAGTCATGCGGGGGGACAGCTCAGTGCGGAAGAGCTTGCTGGTAAGTGCACGTTGAGTGGACGACAAACTAGAGGATCCGTAGATTCAGCGCGTTAAGTACAATTGTCGTGGGCGTCAAGATACTGGCGGCAAGGAAGCAAAAGCGCGGGCCAGTGTCGTTGACGTGTCGCGCAAGAGCCGGTCCGCGAGGCGAACGCGCGACCGGAGCTACACACCAGGGGATATATGGACCGGGCCCGAGGGCTGGATTTCTAAGGCGAAGGAAGAGCCGTGGGGGGTGGCAAACTTGTAGATGCAGCGCAGCAACGGCTAGCAACGGCGGCGGCGGCGCGGCGCAAAGCGGGTGGAGCAAGAAAGCTGACGAGCACGGGGAGTGGCATTCGACCATAGTCCTGGACGCACTGCCGGCCCGAGTTATGAGAACGAGCAGGGCGATGTCTGGAGTAGAAATGCACCAGAGAAATTGGGCCTCGGATTGTCGTTCGTGCGCGGGTGGCCCGCAGGGTGCGCTAGGTATCGTCGTGCAAGCGCATCGTCGTCGTGGAGCGGAGGAAAGAAACCAGAGATTGATGTCACGGCCGCCGAGCCCGGACCTGATGCCGATCGCCAGTGCCACGTAAGCAGCCACGCCTTGTCTTCTCCTTCCATGTGCGCGCGGGAGACGGTCCCGCCCCTGGTCGGAGCGCGGCACGAATGCTATGCTTGAGCCACAGCGCGAGTAGGAGCAGGGATGGGCTGCGACGGTCGATTTGGCGTGGCTTGAGGTGCGTGTTGTGCATTCAGTCTCTATTTCGCTGATCTACTCCCCAGTAATCCCTCACTTTTCGCTGGCGAGTCTGACACCCAGGGTGGCGGCCTCTACTGGGCGGAAACAAGCGGCGTGAAATCAGCCGCGGACGGCCCGGATGGCAAGCAGCAGGGCACAACCGGCGGCGGGGACAAGGTGCGTGTGCTATTTCGTCCGCGTAACTGGGTCCTGATAGTCGCTACGGCGTGTTCAAGTTTTTCACGGTGCGTTACCCATGTCTTGCTCATCACGCAGAGCCAATCGCTCATTTCACTAATAGGTCTACTGCCCCCACCGACGGCGCTCCGCCTTCCGCAGACACCACCGGCCCGTTCGCCGGCGCTGCAATCGATTCCCATTCCACTCCTCTCCACCTGCCCCCATGTCCTCTCCAGTCCCCGTCTTCGACGCAAAAGCGATGCCCTTCCGCCGGTTGGGCCCCAGCGGTCTGCGCGTGCCGCTCTTCTCTCTCGGCGGCTGTCCGTCTTTGCGCATTCCCCATTGGCTTTAGCTGAGCTCTCGACAGGGCTCACCCTCGGAGGCTCCGTCGTCGGCGAGAGCGTCAAGGACATCATGCAGGCCGCCTTCGAGAATGGGATCAACATGTTCGACACCGCGGAGGACTACCAGAAAGGTGCGGCTGAGCGCGAAATGTGCGTTCCCTGAGATTCCCTTCTGACCACGCTTTCTCTGACTCCAGCAAAATCAGGGGACACGCTATCAAAGAACTTGGCTGGCGCCGCACGGACCTCGTCATCTCAACCAAGATATTCTGGAGCCACGAGCCAGGCACGGGCCCGAACGACACGGGGCTGTCGCACAAACAGTGCGCCACCTTCCTTTCCTTCCTACAACTCTGACTGGCAACAGCGTTATCGAGGGCACGAAGGCTTGTTTGCGACGGCTCCAGATGGACTATGTCGACGTCATCTTCGGCGCATCGTTGCGATACCACCGGTGGGTTTCTTACATTCGCCATAAGGAGGTCAACTGACGCAGGCTAGTTCCGATGGAGGAGATCGTCCGCGCATTTAACTATGTTATCGACCAGGGCTGGGTGAGTGGTGGATTTTGTCTATCCATATCCACTAAGATTCACACGCAGGCTTTCTACTGGGGCACCTCCGAGTGGAGCGCGCCCAGATCGAGGAGGCGCATCGTGAGCGTGTACCTCTCCCGAGACCTCCCGTCGCTTACCCGCAGCACAGATGTTGCCACGCGCTTAAACCTCATCGCGCCGATCGCGGAGCAGTGCAAGCACAAGTCTGCGCCATCTTCTTTCTTCCTTCGAAATAATGCTGAGGAGACGATAGCATGTTCCACCGAAACGTCCGGAGAAGGAATACGCGTGCGTGGGCAACCATCAAACTTCAGCAGTAGCTAATGCTGACTTTGTAGCCCTTTGTACGCCAAATGCGGCCTGGGCACAACCGCATTCTCTGCACTGCAGGGCGGACTGCTGACGGGGAAGGTATATCCTCCTCAACCCTCTAACACGTAAACTAACTTTGCTAGTACAACGACGGCATCCCAGACGGCACACGCGCCGCCACCGTGCCCATGTTCCGCGGGGCGACGGAGGGTCCCCAGGGCGAAGAGCTGCTTTGGAAAGTGCGTCTCCTCAGCCAAATTGCTGCGGGTGCGTCGTTTCTCCCCGACTTGCTGAACTCTGGGCGGAACCGCGCTGGCGCTCGCGTGGGTTGCGGCGCACCGCCACACTTCCACAGTCATCCTCGGCGTGTCCTCCGTCGCACAGCTCGAGGCGAACCTCGGCGCGCTTGAGGTCCTGCCCAAGCTGGATGCTGCGGTGTTGGCGCGGATCGAGGCTGTGTTGGGTAACCACCCACAGGAGCCGGTGCGTATTTCTCTATCCAATGATGAGGTGGATAATGCACTAATGATGTTGGTGTAGGAGACGTATGGTCACCCGCCGCTGGATCAGGGCATCCTTTGACTCGGTGCAATATCACCCCTATCTTTCCTTTGACCACAAGATCAGCTCAAGTAAGGAAGAATACAAATGCCACTCATTCTCTCGTTTATCAATATTGAATATCTTTTGTGATCTGGTGTGCTCAATTCGTATGTGTCTATATCATGATTATGCGTCCTTTGTCCACTGGAGGTTGAGATGGAAGGGTGGTGCAAGTATCGAAATCCAGCTCAGATTGGGGCAACGGCGAAGCAGCTGCCTCCGTAGCACTTGTCCTGTCTGCATCACCAAGGTGTCGGACGAGGAACCGCTCCGGGGCCCACGGCGAGAGAACATACTCGTGTCCGAGTACTTGACTTCGAGCCGCTGCAAACCCAAGGGAAGACTAGCCGGGAAGCCCGTGAGGAAGGCGGCAGGCTGTGATAGTATTGAGTAGGGTATGGGCACAGTTCGGATGACGACACTTAGGAGACATTCACTTACGGCGGGCACGCGTCCGGACAGCATCGTTACGGTGAAGTCGAGGGTATGCAGGTGCGGAAAATGTGCAAAGACCGCGCCCCACACGGCAAGATCGCCGTCCTCCGAGTCGCATTCGAGGGTGAGTGTCGTGATTGTCACGGGGATGCACTGCCTATTGCGCTGCAGCACGGACACTAAGCTTGTGGCATCAGCGTTTTCGACATGCAATGTGTGGATAGACGGTGCAATCCGCAGGAGGAGGGGTAAAGCTTCACTGGCTTCATACGTGGTCGTGAGCTTGAATACAGCGGGAAACAACGGTTCGCCGCCGTTAGGGCCATCCCACGGCAGCCCCGGATCGTCCACATAGAGTGCCGCCTCGACACTAAGCTGCTCAACTGCGGGAAAGGCCGCTTGCAGCTGCACACAGCCAGAGTAGGTTAGCAACGCGCCGCAGCCCTCGGAGAGTCTAAGCGCCAGGTGTTTTACGTGAGGTAGCACACTCGTAAGCCCTTCCACTGGTTGATCCATGTCCAGGCTGACCGCGGAGAGTGTGATGGGCTCAAAGAGCGCGAACCATTCTGAGAGCGTGCACGTGGGACTGTATGCTGCCGAGGTGGCGACTTTGACGCTTGAGACACGGATACGGATGTCGAGTGCGTTAATAGCGGCACGAAGGAATGCCTGGATCTCGGAGTCCACAGAACAGGCAAAGAGATCCAGCTCAATCGGGCCGCGGACCTGCGCAAGGTTGGCGAGCGCAGAGAGCGTGAATATGAGACTGTGGCCATAGAATTTGCGTAGGTTAACGAACTTGGAGATGCCGGCGAATAGCACGTCACAGATGGTGTGCGTGCCGGCTACATCGTTGAATACTGCGTCTCTGCTTCTTTCGGCGAAGCCATTCACTTCCTCCCAGGCGACATTGATGCAGTGCACATACGGCGCAATGGCGGGGGACATGAAGAAGGCCAGTTTTGCGATGGCATCCACCACCTCATGAGCAGGTGGGAGCTTAAGGATGGCGCCGCCTGACCAGGCAATGCGCTCCTCCGCGGGCGCATATGGCTTCACGGCAAGCTTGCTGTAGAGGAATGGGCGGGCAAGCAGGCGCAGGCGACGAGAAGCAAGAGCGACGAGCTTGAGCTGGGCGGGCGACACATCTTTGAGCACTTCGTGAAAGAGTTCGTTCGGAAACATGGAGCGACCAGTTGCAGCCAAGCTGGAAGTGAAGAGAGGAAAGCGCTGCCACATATTGACAGCGCACACGTGTGCCCAGCCAATCGGGCGTGCCCGGCGCGGAGCTAATCATGATGTGATCGCCCAGTCACATCTTACGCAATCGCCTCCCTTTTTGTTCCTGACGCCCATCTCGACGCACAATGCCAGCCTTTGCAGCACACCTGCGGCGCCAGCTGGCGCAATGCTACGGCAACACTAACCGATACGCATGCGCCAACCACCCCTTCTCCAGTCGCCAACTTCTCCGGGAGTCTAAATCTGTGGCGACACTGTGCTGCTGGAGATCTTTGCCTGGCGTGTTACGCTGTCCTCGCTTTCCCGACATCGCTGACCGAGCGCACCCTTTTTACAAGCCCACTCTTATCCTAGCTTATTCTCTGTCTTCAGACACCAGTCATCAAATCGACCGTATGCTCTACCCGAGCAGGAATACTAGCAACTGCCTCGGATTTCCCAACCGAACTTGGACCGCTGCCCGCGGTATGCAAAATGTGGTCTGGGCCATACTGGATTCTCCTCCGCTGCAAGCTTGGACCTTGGCTTGTGCCCAACCACTGGCAGTCCTTTGATGCCCGCGCCGCAGCCACCTCAGCTTCCTGACGCCCAACTCGGTCAGCACCATCTTGCGCACATCGACAATGATCATCATCTTCCAGCATATGGACCTGCCGCTGGAGAGTGGTCATCTTCGGATTTGTTCCTCCACTCCGGTCCGGTATTTATACTAATAACTATGCAGCGTGTGTGCAACAGCACTGTCGAGGACACGAATTAACTCGTCTCGATGCAAAATGCCAGCCTCAGGGGCAGATCTACGCAACACTAGCCGATACACATGCCCCAACAACTCCTTCTCTGGATGCCAACTTATTCGAGAGTCTAAATCTGTATTGAGACTCTCCGCTGAGACGAAATTGCTAACACAGGACTTACACCGGCGCATCGATTCCGACTCTGTGGGTCCGGACTTGGCAAATCAAACGTCGACGCAACTTGAAAGCTCACGCTAACGGGTCTGCGCGCTGGCCATCCGGAGACGATCGTGCCCCGTGGTGCTGCTTGCCATCCGCCTCAGCGCTATGGAGGATAATCCGTACACCTGACACAATATCACACTAGGCGCCTGCCAGGCTACCGATTCCGCGGATTGGTGGCCGCCGCGCTGCGGTTGGCTTATGCCCAACTGTGGCCGGGCCGTGGATGCTATCGCTGCGGCCGCGTCAGCTTCCCCACGACGATCTTAGCTGCCGACCGGCGCATCGACATCAACTCGACGACGCGCCGCTGAAGAGCATCCTAACTCGGAGGCGTGTTCGAGCTGCCCTGACGTCATTGGCGTCTTCATCAAGATGTTCTGGAGCGGTGGAGCAACAACACGGACATGGGCTGTTTGCGCAAGCAGTGCGCTATCTTTATTCCTCCACTCTGCACCGGTATTCATGCGATGCAGCCCGTGGGCAACAACGCTGTCCATTAGCGCCTCCAAATGATGCGCGCAGCAGATTGACCTCGGAGAAGCCGCACTGTATACTTCTCCAATGCTCAGTGTGCTCTTCCACCTTATCGGTCTTCTGAAAGCACTGATCAACCGACAGTGTGTTCCACCATACTGCATCTGCATTCGACCCTCAAGCATCTATCCCGCGGGCCCATGTTCTGCGGGATCACGGACATGCCGTCCGGGGCGCGGCGCACTCCTCAGCCCGCCGGCAGGTGCGTCGCGGATGGGGACCCACCTGCGTACCCGTTTTGTTGACGTCGGTGGGGCACCGGACTGGTCCCGGGTCCTGCATCTCGTCTCCTGCCAGGGACGCTGTTCGTTAGCCCCGGGAGAGTGTCTTATGTGCCTTGAGCTGCTTAATTGCCAAATTAATGTGTGGATGCATCAATGGTCCCCGCGTGCGGCGACAGATACCAGCGGCGGAGCTAGCTCCACACGTAGCCTGTCTGTGTCCGAGTCGGACACCATCATCTGTCTCCTTCACTCCAATGCCCAGTGATCCACTGAGATCAGCACTGAAGAGCCTCGTGGATTTTTACAAAGAGATGTGCATATGGGCATGGTCTAATACCTCAGCTGCAGGAGCGGAACCTCAATCATGATATGATGCATTGACGGGCAGCGTGAGCGCAACTGCGCCAGCAGCCTGTCGGGGTCGGGCACCGCGGTTCGCGTTCGGGCGCAATCACTGTGTCCGCGTCGGACTGCCGGGATGACCTTCCCATCACACTGAGCCCTTTAAGTGTGGACGGAAGACGCGGAGGCAGTGACGCAACAAGGGCCAATACCTGCGACTTCCAGATCAGTGTAGGATACTGACCTATTTCATTCAATTAGGCGGGTCACGGTCACATCGGATTTTTTGGCCGAAATATTTCGGCGGGTCACGGGTCACAGCCAAATCTTTTGGTCCCAAACTGTCCTAATCGGGAAGATTTCGAAATTTTCGGCGCCTGCGGCGCGCCGAACTTCCCAATCGGGTAATAGGTCACGCGAAATTCGGCCTGTGGCCGAATTGGACATTTCGGCCAAACGGTCACGGGTCACAGGCCCGCTGAATTGATCGAAATGGGTCAGTATTCCCTCCCCCCAGCTCCCCCACACACACCAAGCAAGCAAGCAAGTAAATAATCACCACGACTCAACATTGAACTCCCCCACGTGACGGTGCTAGCCCAAGCCAAAGCTTTTGATACCTGATGTCACGCATCACACCAGACCAGTCTTGAGGCTTGGAGTTGGTGCAAGTCCAACCTAAGCTCAAGTTAACTTCAAGGCCCATTGAAACTGGGCCTGACCATAGTCATATGCCTGTCAGGGGAACCCCCACTTCGGCCTCCTTCAGACCATCCGAGCGCATCCGAGGCACATCCGACCGCCCCCTCGGACGCTCCGACCTACCCCAACCCTCGTCCTCGGCCTCCTTCGCCCGCACAATCACTGATCCGTCAAGACCCTCCCAACGATCACCTTGGGACAGAGCCTGCAACGCCGCTCAGCTCAGGCTTTCTGCGCTCTACGTCGGCAGTTACGGACGACCAGTATATAGTTGGCGCCCTAGCAGGCAGACCCTTAGAGTTTCTTCTCTTTGGATCCTCCCCTGCTAGGTCGGTCCCTCCGTGTATTTCCTGTAGCTTTTATTCACGTCTTGGATCCTCCCCTGCTAGGCTTTCGTCGGAGTCTCCAGGGTTGCCCTTACAATGCCATCCAGACAGCTGGTAGACCGACTGTGCTATGCTGCTGGTTCGCCGCCTGTTAGTGTTACTCAGACAATTGCTGAGTAAGCAGTGTTCTGAAACAGTGTAACGCTGTGACA